AATACGAAATTCTATACGAAAACAATTATTATTCTCTTTACTTCATCCTAAATACTTTTATTTGTCATAGATCAATACTCAAATATGCAAAACCAATTTTATTTTTTCGATTTCGATCTCAATGACTTCGTTTTCAGAGGTTCCAGTCATAGGTCTACTAAATCTAGTCTTATATTGATCCTGGCTTAGAGAAGACTATTTCAGAATTCATTGGCATTAAATCTAAAAAGGTCTTAAATATTTGTATTTCGATAAATTCAACCAACGAATGTTCTCTTTTTCGTGATACAAAGCACGAAATAATTTGTTTAAATCAAAAGGATGAAGGGAAAATTAATTAAGATATATTCCTTTTGTTTAAAATAAAACCATCTTTTTAGTCTTTAGTAAGAATTAAAAAAAGAAACAGTATCCTAACAAAAGATCATAACTGCTAAATCGTCATCTATTGCCCATCGAACAAATAAAACAACCTAAAGATGAATTTTTAAAGGAACAAAACTAATGTATATATTTTTTTAATGTTCTTACATGTTCTTGATTAATAACAAGACCAAAAACAAAACCATTATCATGTGAACGAATATGTGCATCAGTTTGAAAACATTTATCAATTGAATAAGATCGAATACATTCAAATGTTCGATTTAAGAAACATAATCGTTTTCGCCCATCTATTCTTTCATAATAAATATATATATGACATTCATCTGTGCGCATAAATATTTGATCTTCGGTTATATCATTATGATTTTTTGGTAAACAAGTACGTAAAGAAATTTTTAAACGAAAATTTCTAAGTTGATTCAATTGTATAAATTTCATATTCACTGTCATCTGTTACTGTAATAAACGATTTTCAACTATTGAAACAAACAAGTTGTATCATATGTCCATGATACCATTGAAGTATAATTGGCTTAACGTTACCATCACCAATAAAAATCAATTGTTTCGTTTGACGAGAATAACATCTAAAAGAAAAAATGAAATGAAATGTTATATATATTTCATATGTTGTAAATGAATTTGTTAACAAAAGTTCATTGCCATTTGATGCAATTGAATGTACAGGGTGATCAAAAAGTTCCCGGAACTTCGATATATCTATCTATGGAAACGACATTCCATCCATCTTTCTACGTAGTATATTCAAGGTAGTTGTTGTGATATTCCATGGAAAATTTCATTGCTTTAACTTACTCTTTAAATATCCTTTCGAAGTAAACAATAGATATTGAATTGACCTCCTTGATTATTACCCTTGTCAAATCGCTGTAGCTGCTGTTTATCTCGTCTATCTTGAATACACCTCAACGACTAAGAGCTTGAAAGTCTAGTCTAAGATGAGCACACTTGGCGTGCCTTAACTTCATTTCTCTCACTTTTAAGTAAATAATGCATTATTTTACATGTTGCTCAAAAACATAATAATGGACATTGGTCGGATTCAGTGTTGGGCAACTCCGGGTATGTACCGCTCCAACTCCAGGTAACTCCACTCCGATTTTTAAAAATTCCACTCCAACTCCATGCAACTCAACTCCTATTTTCAAAAATTCCGCTCTAACTCCAACTCCAACTCTTGGTTAATTTTTTAACTCCGCTCCAACTCCAACTCCACCTTCTTAACATACATCTTCAACTCCAATTTAACTCCAATTCAACTCCGATCCCACGAAGTCAAACTCATTTGAATACAAGTTTAAAAAGACAAGTTTTTCAATATAAATCTATGAGTAATATCAATGAGTTACAGGTTTATTATTGTTTTATAGAATTTTTATTATAAACTTGAAATATCAGTCCAACAAGTCAACAGGTCAGTTGTTGTTACATCAGATAATGAATCCATTTGCATTCAGGTTATTCACAAGTAATGAAAAACCAGAAAGATATGTGTTCGATGCACCGAATTCAAGGGGGAAACGGCGGACTTGAAATAGAAAAGTACGTCAAAGTAGACTACTTGAAGTAGCTCAAAGTACCACCCAAGTACCCATGTAAAAGTGTATGCACCCAGGTCAATCACGCTGGGCAGTAAACGGCCGTTCACTAACCAAATACGGCGAAAAACGGCAACTGTTTACGTTAGTCATATACGGCACCAGTAAACGACGATTTACAGCATATTACCGCAATTGTAGACAGTGCCCGTAAAAGTTCATCGTAAACTACTAACGTAACAGTACGGTGACCGTATACTCTGGTCGCAAAATAACGTAAGGCATCGTATATGTCAGCCGTTTCCGGTGATCATTTACAACAGTCGTATATGATGCTTTACGGCATACTACGGCGATTGTAAACATTGACCGTAAAATATCATCGGAAACGACTAGCGTGGCAAAACGGCGGCTGTACACGCTGGTATTATTAAATGTCGTAAAACACAGTGTAGGGGAGCAGTATACGCTAGTCGCTTACGGCGATGGTAGACGACATTTTATGATGATTTACGGCCGATGTAAACAACTGCCATAAACAGTCACCGTGTACGACTTCTGTGACAATATGCCGACTGTATACGTTCATCGCATAATATCGCGACGCGCCGTCTTTGTTTATTGTAATTCG